TCATTAATTACTTTAACCATATTCCATACTATATTTCATACATTTATATTGTCTTTTAGACCTTGTATTACACGATTTCAATCTATAGATTGACTACATTAGACTTTTTCATATATTAATATTTTCATATAGTTGTTATACACCTTATATTTCAAAGACTATAATTTATAAACTCATATTACTCTAACCATGATATAATGTTATATTTTATATATTAAGATTTTCATATAGTTGTACTACACCTTATATTTCAAAAACTATACTTTATAAACTCATACTACACTTTATATTACATATATTAAGATTTTGTTATAGTTGTAGACATTTGTTAATGTATTATATAATATATTGTCTATATCGACATTTTCATGAGTTCTCTTCCTATATCAAATATTTTTTAATGTCTCACTACTTCTATCATTTATTTCATACCTCAAAACCATTTCAAGACATTTGAGAATGAAAAATCTATCAAAATGTCCTTCATTTCATATTTTTTCTTCGTATATGAAATATGTTTTCATGTCTCACTAAATTTACCTATATTTATAAACTATAGTTAGACAATAAATAAAAGTATAAAGGTTTAGGTGTCATCTCATTTTCATACCTTCATAGATATCACCATTGCTGCTTCTATGACTAACGAGAACATAAATAGCAATGAGAGACAATGGAGTGTGACATCTGATCAGAAAAGAAAGAGAAGATATTCTTTTTTACAAGACTCCAGAGTTAATAATATTCAATGAAAAGACCCTACTAAAAGTAAAATATACATCAAGTTTCACATATAAAATTATCATATAATATAAATCGAATCAACATTTTGTTACAACCAAAACAAAATCACGCTTTTCAAATGCGAATCAAAATCTAGTTACTCTTAAAATAAAAGTACCAATATAAAATACTTCTAAGACTTGCATATTATTTATAATCCAATGCCACTGAAAATTTATTTAAGTTAAAAAAAATGTTTTGTCTTTTCAACATAATTAAGGTTTTCCTAAAATAATTCAAACTAACTACAATGTAGAAAACAAATAATTAATGTCTACTATTTTCATTTCCATGCTACATAAAATAATCTGTAATATCGAAACCAACAAAAAAAAATTAATTCAAATAAGCTCGAATACACGAATCAATTTAAATAAATTCAAATTATAATCCAAAACGTTGTAAATTTAGGAATAATTTACTACGTTGAAAAAATATCAACTTAGTAGCGACAGAGCATAACGTCTTACTTCTATTTTTCTATATTCTTTCATGAACCAAAATCTATACTTTTATAAAGTTCAATTCCAAAACAAAAGTACATTCAAAATTTTAATTGAAATCAAAATTAAAATATATATCACTAACACCAACCAAATCGTAGCCTTTCTTTCTACCACAAAAAAAAAAAAAAAGATATCAAATCTTAGAGTTTCTTATTTCTTTGGATCAAATAAAAACATAACATCAACAAAATCATCTATTTAAAATCCAGAATAATATCAATCCCCATAAAAATCACTTTATAAAAAATATATTTTAAACTTGCACAATATTTACAATCATATGCCATTGAAATAATAAATGTATCTACATTCTAGTTTTGTTTTTTTTTTTTTTTTTTTTTTT